AAGCTGTAACTTCGATCTTTTTATATTCGTTTCGTTTTTATTTATTTACTTATTTGTTTACTGTTTACTATCATCCATATCGTTAACCATATCCGGAATATTTGTAACATATTTCACATATTACACATATTTCACATATTGTTGTACGTTATATATCTAGCAGGCTCGCGCATAGAATCTATATTTATAACCTCATGAGAAACGCGACAAATTCTGATGTATAAATATTTACCTTCGACATCAAACATCTATCGGCCGAAAGGGTTAACGACCTGGAGTCATGGAAGCTATTGAAGTAGCAAAGGGCATATTAACTCGCATGTCAAAGCATCGGGATTCTCAGTATCCTCCGTCCGCGACGATCAGGATGGCGCGTCGTCGCAACCTACGAAAGTCTTGTTATGCATCGACAAAATCGATATACCGTGCTTTCGAATGCGGGCCACCAACGCGGTGACGTAATTGAACGATATACTCGCGGACTGGGGTCATCGAAAACGCCCGAGTTCTTCCGCGACCATAATGCCAACGGCTTAACACCCGATACCGACTATCCACCTGGCTAACCGTGTAATGCCGTTTTTCCTCGCGGATTTTTTCCCCCGCTCTCTCCCCGCATCCCTTTGCCGTCGCCTCATCTCGCCTCCCTTATGTGCTCCATATTTCCACCTTGCCCCGATGCCCCTACGTTCGCCATCGAGATGCCGCGGTCGACTTCCACTCGATCGAGCGTGATCGAGACTGATCGGCTTGACACAAAAGAGCGGCAACGAACACTCGGTCCAGAGTCCAATAGCAAAAGGGTTAATTATAAAGAGCGAGGCACCGAAATCCGATATCGCGGAGCCACTCGCCGGTGAGATATCGCGTTGTTACTGCTGGTATAATTCCTCTTGGATTAATATCAGTAATGGAATTGCTTCCAGACCGGTCTCTTTTATAACTAGTACTTTATGGACTGCTGACTGATCTCGCGAGTATGTGATTTTATGAAGATTTTTACCGAAAGCTATGAATATTTGCATAGTTTTATAGGATTATTCAAATGAAATTCGCATGTATTTAAAAATTGTAATTGTTAATAATAGCAAAAGTAAAGACACATACTAGGATTTTTTATTTAATTTTTTTCTTCTCTCTTAGATCTCTTTTTACTATACTTTATAACAAAGTGTAAGCGAAGTATTCTCGAGGTAGACTGAAGACTAAGAAATATTCCTCTAGAATTCTAGATAATAATACCACAAATCGATGTCTTGGGAAATATTTCCGAAGCTGTCAAGTCTATTGATTAAGGAATATCGACAGAATTTCAATGAGTCGAGTTTTTTTCGAGTATCCTATAATATCCTAGCACGAATAATCAGAAATATACGATAGACGTAATAAGTGTAGTACATATATAGACTGGGCATTCCATGATCTTAGCATTCTATACTCCATTGAAGAAAGAATTGAACGGTATTTCTTTTCAACTCGATATCTTAGAGAGAGAGAGAGAGAGAGAGAGAGAGAGAGAGAGAGAGAGAGAGAGAGAGAGAGAGATGTTAATGCTTCAGCACTTTACTCTTTTTAAACCGATAGACAATTTCATAGGAATGGCTGCTTTTATTACATCTTTGATGATAAGCGCACATATGCGAAAGGAATTTTTTCCGATGACATTATAACATCGTGACGCTAGGAGGAACCTTTTATGGCGAAACATACCTGCTTTCGGTAATTCACGCGTCTTTGCAGGGGAAGTTAATCTCATTATCCCGTAAGAGAAACGAAGTGGATCATAAAGAAGGCAGTGTCTCGCTTGAACGCTCCATTGCCAGATAAAGCAATTAAATTTTGTACGATTCAAGTACGATATTATCCCATGTGTAACACAATAGTCGAAAATAGTAGAATTTGTTGAAACAGCGAGGGAGTCTATATCTTGTCGCTATGATTTCGCTATGATTGAATGTGATATCCTAATTGTAATATACATCCAAACGCAATTAAATAAACATAAATCATAAAACGTTATTGTAAATAATGTAAATTATAGCTAATTATAATTATCAACGAGACCGCAGTAACGAATTGTGTCGCTGTTGAATATTCATTATTCAGTGTTTAATAACAAAATTTATTAATAATATCTCTTCATATACTATCTATTTGTTACATGAAACATCTATTTGTTACATTTCTCCAATATTCGAAAATTAGTGTTTAACTTTGGATATCTCTTTTCCTCCCGAAATACATCATTGCGCACAATTTTCTCTTCTCTTTGTTTCCATTAACTGAGACTTTCTTTCCACTTGAGATAAATCGAAGATTATGTGACATAAAATATAACAATCGAACGCAACGTTCGATTACATCACGAAAACGTTCCGATGCAGAATTAATTCAGACACGCTCGAATTGTTAAGAAGAGCTAATTAATGCGCTTATAGCTAACGTATTAATAATCGATGTCGGAGATGCGAACGCTCGAGCGTCGCGCGCACTCGCGTTGGACCCGAACGATAACGCGATAGTCTTTGCACGTTAACTGTGCAAATTGATCTGCAATAATGGGGTGGATCCCGAAGGAAAGAACCGTCTATCGTTTCGGTATATCTTTATGATACATTGTATCTGGCACGTGTTCTGGCAGCGTGCAGTCGAACGATACGCCAAGAATAATCCGATGTCGCATATCATT